TCTTTGCTAGAAAATAATGAATTAGTTTTCTGAAAAAAGCAGAAAACTTTTGCTTCGCCTGTAGTGCCGCATAATTTTGATGAAAAAAGTTGATTAACTGAGGTTGAAATCCTCATTAATCTTTCACATTTGTTGAAACGACACAGCACAATCAAACCAAACGATAGTTATTTGCAAAATGAAATCTTTGGAAAGCAAATCTGCAAAAGGAAATTCTAAAATACTTTTTCTTTCGCATTGCAATAACATGTAACTTACAGCATTATATCAACGAGGACATCATGTCTTATCCTTTTATTTAAGAACAAAAAAAAGACAAGAAAAGAAATAAACAAACAAACAAGCATTGATCAGTCTTATTCATTCCAGTTAATAAGTCCAGATGCAAAATGCAGCTTTAACTGTACTTGTAGGTCCACTTTAATGCTGTAATGTAGATTCTGCCAACTTCTAGTCAATATTTTAAAAGATGCTACAACTACTTGTTAGCTTCCTCTGCTGCAACTGATACTGTGCCAGTGTTGTTGCAACGATTTAGACAACATTCACACTTAACTAAGGACCGATTGAGCGATTGTTTCAGGGATTGCTTTTATAAATCATTTGATAGTAGGGTTAGTGGCAATCTGTGAGCGCTACCTCCATGAAAAGGTCAGCAGTTAACTAAACATATTGGCTCACATCCAGCAAATTTTCTAATATTAATAAGTTTCCTTAATAAATATTTCCATCTCGGATAAGTTTTTTTTTTTTCAATAAATCAGTATTTTCTCAGGAAATCAATCGTAAGTATGGTGCCATCTCAATCAATCATTCAAGAGATGATTAGGTAATTGTGATTGAAAATTGTGACGGTTGCAAACAAATGTGATGATGACCTTTACCACTCGCTTTATAACTATTGTGGGTATTTATTTTTTTCAAGACTTAGCTTAGACTTCGAAAAATTCGCCGTCTGGATAAGCAATTGCAGATTTAAAGGGAAACACTGAACTAAAGGAAACTAAAAAGGATGCTAAAAGTTACTGGTTGTAAATGTTCAGGAGATGTTTTTAAAATTTTACTCCATAATTTAAATACCTTAAGATTGTAAAATTTAATATGAACTAGGCTTTGAAACTTGAAAAATTATTGAAATCTGAATTGTTGAGTACATATTTTATAGGCTACGAAGAAAAAAACATATTAGAATTTTTAAATAACATTTTAATTGATTTGAAAACTTTAAATAGGAAGGAACATACAATAAGTCGGGCATTCTATAACTGACTTAGGTAAAAATAACAAGACAGTCGTCATTGGAAAATGAGTTGAAATAGGTGATGAAGAAAAGGATGACAGTGATTGTATGATGAGATTAAAGATATCGATAAATGAAAGAGAGTGGAAGCAAAAGGAAGAGCAGAGAAAGTAAGGTAAGAAAGAATAGAATTAAGATAGGTAATTAATATAATTGCTGAGAAATGTGGAGAAGATTCGATGACCAAGGAAAAGTGCCACTGAGGATAATTTCCTGGAATAAGGATGAGAAGAAATGAAAAGAACGGATAGACAGAAAGGCGCGTCGATGTGAAAGTACGATAACAACCACACAGTTCAACAGCCACTACACTCTCACTGATGGTATAAAATGAGACTCTTGAAAAGGTACATCACTTTTTTTTATTTTTAATTTGTTACCGATCAACAAGCAAAATGCCGTTCTTAAAGGCTGAAAAATCAATAATGATAATGACAATGAATGATGATTGTGGTGACGAGATTTATGATTAAAGCAATGATAGCGTAATAATAACACTTCTCATCTTTTGCTTTCTTTTCTTTATCAAAAATCATGCCTTCAAGTTACAAATCCATTGAGTGTTTGTTCTTTTACTGTTACGATCTCAAATTTATTCCATTACGATACCATCTTTGAATGGAATAAAGAAGGGAAAACCTTCTAATCTCCTTACCAACATCAAAATTTTTATTATGCATGTTTTTACTAATCTTGACGCAATTTTAATTTAACTGAAAGTAAGTAGGGAAAATAAAAGGAGAAGTGGTGGATTTTCTGTGAAATAAAAAAAATTACATATGAAGTAATTTTTTTTATTGATAGCATCTAATCTAATCCACTCGAAATATGCATTTACGTTAATCACATGTAATAGATAATCTAATCCATTAAAAATATTCATTTAAGTTAATCACACGTAATAGGTAACATTTTAACTGCAACACTAGTTATCGACTCAAAACCAAGTCATAATTCATCCACACGACCATGTGCCTTTTCAAAGCATTACTTTATTCCCATTACACTTTTGATCCATCCATGATTGGAACATGATCTGGTAAACCCTGCTTCTATATTTACTTCTTTGAAGTAGTTTTCTGCTGGAACAAGCATAATTTAAACCAATTTAAACTGGTTCTTTCCACAGCTTTTGATATTCCGTCCATTTCAAATTTTTTGAAAGGTATTTTCATTTTTTTTAAGTTCATACTTTTTTTGCTAATGAATCATTAAGCGGTAGTAACAAACCGTTCGTTCATTTTCTGCTTCTGGTCATTGGTGAGATATTTTCACAATATTAAAGATGTGGACTAACTGAAATAGAAAAAAGAGCATTCATCACCACGACGGCATGATTTCTAAAACGTTCAACTAATATGAAATGGTTCTATTGGTTGGAATTGAGCCAAAAGAAATTTATCAATCAAAAAATTTCTCGAACTACTGCTCATTTCTTTTGCTCTTTTTTTTTTCTTTGCTTTGCTCAATAAAAACTTGATAAATTGGTTTGAATGACATAAATGCTTGTCCTGAAAGCGGTACATTGAAGTAGAGCAATGATCATGATATGGATCAACAATACTTTTCCGCTTGCTTTTCAAATCGTCCTTTTCAGAAAATCTTTCAACATTCTAAAATATTCGAGGAAATTCTTCAACCAATTCGATAAGAACTTTTATAAACATTGCAAACGAAAAGAGATAGAGAACATTTAGGATGTGATTTCATTCTGGTGGAGGCAGTTTTTTTATTCTTTTCATTCATTTGTTCATTTGGAATAGTCTGAAAATGAAATCAAAAAATTCAGCGGAGAAATAGAACCGATAGTTGTAAGAAGAGGAGCAAATTCATTCTTAAACCTACAAAAAATCATGAAATCTTCTATTTCCATCTCTTTTTCATTTTTAGCGTTGAAATTTTAAACAAATTACAAGCATCAGCAAATTATTTTCAACAAAAAATTTTGTTGTATGAATAAAACATTTACCATTATTATTTTGATGGCTTTTAGTAGTGCTAGCTCCGATATTGTTATTCCTATTGTTGTTGCTGTTTTTTTGTTATTGCTGTAGAGGATATCTTTAAAGAACATCAAGTGGTTTTACATTGTCCTTTTTAATTTCATTTCTGTCTCATTCAATACACGAAAATTTTTTCTTGTTTTGCAAATACTGATAGCTATAATTGCACTTCAATAAAAATCGCCAAAAAGAAACGAACGGGTCTTTTCCCATTTCTTATTCGTTACTCAACTCATTTATATTGTAAGAAAAGAGTATTTATCAAAGGACAAATAAAAGAAGAAAAATTATTCGCAATAAATTTAATGGTTATCCATTACTTCTCATCTACACATTTTAATATTATTTTCATGTCCTTTATTTTCCATTTTTCTTACCCAAATTCTCAATGTTCAGAAAATAATCAAAGATTCAACCAATATGATTGAATTGCAACAAACAGCTAAATTGTTTATTCATTCGATATAAAATGCACAACTGTTTCTTACTGTGAATAGGTATTTCCCCTACTGTGCGTTTTCTTCTGTATTTGTATTTAAAGATAAAAGTGATCAGTGGAATACTTTTAGCCAGCATATGCCTTTTGATGCCGATAACAATCAAGAAATGATCTCTAAAACATCATATGGATCGATATGGATCGTGATAATCCAAATAAATTTGTCAAAAGCTTGACTATTTGATTAAGATATTTTACTCATTTTGGTTTTTGTCACATCTTTTTTTGTTTAAATAATCAAATCTCTGAAAGCTGATGTCCGTTTCCCTTGAGTTTGTGTGGGATTTTGTAGGCCAAAAAAAATTGTATGTACTTTTAAATTATATACTATTATTTATAACAGCAATTTGATTACTATAAAACCCAGTGTTATTCGATGTGTAATGTGAAAATAGTTTAAAACTATTTAATTGCTTGAATAACATTAAGTGAAGCTTATAAAGTCTGTAAGCGTCTAATCGTTTGTATCGAACTCCATGACTTATTAAAACGGGCTTGAGAATTTTCCATCTATACAAGACTGTCAATTTCTGTTCATATGATTTATTTTATACTATAAAGACACATTCGTCAAAAAATTATGCTATCGTGATATTGCAGTAAGTTGATAACAATAATAACCAAAATTTGTCCCCAAGAGGTGATTAAGATGGCAAACTCTAATCGTTTGATTGTTCATTTCTTAAGAGTTTTAGGACTGACAATTTCGTTTCAGGCATAAAAAAATTTCGCCATTTAGAGGGAGATTTGACATTATGATGACCATATTAGTTTTCACTTGGATGTTGAAGATATTAATAGAATCGATCACATGATCAAACATAATTATGTCATTTAATAAACTGAATTAAATAAACTCGTTTATCCTTAGGCTTCCTCCAAATCTTCAAATTGTTTCACAAAAAACTGTATATTTTCAAGTTCAACATCTTCATCAACACAATTTCTTTATTTCACTTTTAAAATTCTATTTAATTTACGGATATGCACTTATAAATGACTCCTGCACCAAAAAATTGTGACGAACAAAAAACGCATTTCAAATGAATAGAAATAAACAAGACTTTTTTTTAATTCAAAAAATATACAAAAGCCTAATGAACCCGCGACATTTGATAAGGGAATTGGATACTGGAAGAGGTCCGAATCAGTGAAGAATTCGATGGAATTGTATTGAAACAAAATAAGTTATTCACTTTCATATACTCCTTCTTGTTAATAACTTTTTATTAGGCAAAGGACTATTATCAGTGTTGAAAATATGCATGTGTACTAATGCTGTACCTGATCCCGAGGTAGCCGTTTCTAGAGAATGTTGTGATTCCCGCGGATAGGATAAGGAACATAATACCAATGATTCATCATTAGTGTCCGTTTCCATCACTCTTTCATTAATTTGTAATTCGCTTGGTGAGGTAACATTCTCAATTACCTGCTCTTCTTCTTCTGTACTTCTTTCTTCCACTGGTGGCCTGAAATTTCAACATTTATTTACATAGATAACGTGATAATAATTTTGCAAATGGAGCAATAATATTTCTTAGAGAATCCTGATGGAGTATACCTGATAAATGGGGGTAATTTGGTAGCATCTTCATAGGTTGGTAGTGGTGGAAGATTGTCTCCGCGTTGACAGGACCTTCCTGGAAATCTTCCTTAGGGTACTAAGCAAAGTATAATATGCTTTATACCAAAATAAACAGTTTTTTAAAGTTATGATTGGGTTGTTTATATAAGCAACCTCTATGGGGAATTATAACATAAGGAGGGGGTCCTTCGTTGGGAAATGTAATAGTTCTGAATGACGGAATTCCTGAATCGTCCGATACTATCACATTGCCATGACGTGAATTAATTTCAATGCTTGACCGGACTAGTGCTTCACGTCGGACACTCGCAAACCGGTTTTGCACCTAAAATAAAGGAGGATTGAAGTTTGGAATCAAAATATCTGGGAAATGGAGAAGAGGAAAAGAGAAAGAGTTGTAAGGGGATCTAGGGAGTAAACCCAAGGATCGGTCTTTCAAGGCCTATAGAAAAAATAAATGATATGGTTTCAAGAAGGTTCAATAAAAATCCATAGAATGCTTATGAAATTAGCTTCTTTCAAGCAGTAGAAATAAACCAAAGTTGTAATTATACTTTAATATCATGAAATTATAGTTATAACTGCGCCATTGGAACTTTTTACAAAAATTTTTTGTTGTAACAACTATATGAAAAGTGTTTCGTTGCGTGATAAAATATGTAAATGGAAAAAGACTTTCTCATAAACATAACAGTATTTTAGCAAACTTTAAGTGAAAACATTAGCTAACCTGCATTCTATGTTTCATCAACAAATACATAGAAAGAATGAGGACAGCAATCATAACCAAGCTGAATATAGTACTCGATACATCTCGAGTAAGGAGATCACTGTCTTGATAAACATTCTGCAAATGATTATAAATGTACAAAGCGAACCTGATTTTATTGTGCAAATAATAGTAGTAAGAAAGGTTGAAAAGTTTTGTCAAAAAAATTAAAACATTAAAGTTTTCTTTTTGATTTGAGTAAATTTTTTCTTTTTTTTTTTTTGATTTTTCCGAAGCAACCTAAACCCATAAATGATATTTGCTGTTCATTTAATTGTCAATCATCTGTTTTGTTATCACTGCATCATTGTCTCCATTAATTTAATATCACTAGTCACTCCATCCAGTGAATTAATTAGCGGAAAATACAAGTTTTGAGACAAAATGTCTATGTGAATGTATAATCACACAGACATTTAACTTATTACTTTATTAAAAATTTTCTTGATCTCTGCTAACAACATCATCATCAAAATTCACAAAACTCAACCACTCAATTAATTTTGATGACTGAACTGTTACACATTAGACCTCTGATCATTTAGTTGTTATCAGATAATAGCTTCTTAGTTTTATTTGTATTAAAAATTTTGCGAGGAAACAGAAAGTTTCGTTGCAAATATACTTCTGATTGAAATGGTTCATTTCGTTAGTATGTTCTTACGCTGTAATCATAATATTAAGAGACTACTAAGTGCTTATTTACGAACACGTCCCTCTCCACAGCTATGTCTCATATCATTTAAGAATTTCGAAAATGTAATAAAAAACCCCTCAGGCACTCAGCATTTACTAAATAGATATAATCAGTTTCTTGTTTTTGAATTGCGTCAGTTGGGAAAGATTGATGGAAAAGAAAATAATTATAGCTATTATAGGGGAATAACCTGCTTAGAGTAGATAATTCGAAAGAAGGGACCGAGATAAACATGGTACAGCGAACCTGTTCTCTGTAGCCGTGAAATCGCAACATAACTGATGTACGATTAGCATCAATTTCGCAGTGATAACCGAGGAAATTCGGAGGACACAGACATTGATGCCGTAACTCAGTACCGCCGTTCAAACACACTATATTTCGACATTCTTCACCTTGATAAAATGGCGTACATGAGCAATAATCACGGCCATCTGCGCCTACAAAATGCAATTGCGAGCAGTGACTTGAACGATTTTTAAATTTATCCAATATCAGTTAAACTTTATAACAATGGCTATATAGTAATAATACATGCAGTTCATGATAAAAAATGAAGGCGTATTCTGCTAAAAAAGAAAAGGAGAAAGTCATGATTATTAAGCACACATTCAATTTTCAAAAACAGCTTATTCACGGCTGTTAGGCAATTAGTTCTTTTCAGAATAGCTGAAAAGAACTAATTGCAATTTGATCAATTTTGGGAAGCGTTTGGATGTTATAATAAAGTAACTAATGATAGATGAAACAAGTAATTCATCTTAGCAAAATATTTCGTGCAATGTTTCGTTTTGTTTCTGCCATTTATGAATTAAAATAGGCTTCCTTTGAAATCATTTTCAATGAACAATTTAAGAAAATGGCAGTTAGTATTAAGATTTCTCACAAATCTCGGACAAAATACCTTAGGCAAGATATTTTTAACGTAGGCAAAGACATCATCTGCACATGTTGTAGTGCATAGAAATTAACTATGTTAACGAAATCACACTTATATCGACGAACCTGTCATTCGCTGTCCCTGATCGCAGTATTTTTCGCATTGCTCACCGAAATATGGTTTTGGACAGATGCAATACAAACTGGAATCGAACGAACGATGACCATTATTAAGGCATGGCTTGAGACGTCTACAATTTCGGTCTAAGTACTCATGTGCTGACACTTCTGAAAAATTCTTTTAAATACAAGACAAATTTCATATTATTTTCATCTTGTCTAGTTAGATGAAACAATGAATAATTTAAACGATAGCCTAAAAGTGAGAAGACGAAGAATAAACAAACTTACCTGGACATTTACAGGCCACACCTATACCAGTAAAATCGTCAAAAGTGAACAGTGCGGAAGAGGATAGGAGATAAGTGCCGCGATATATGCGGCATTTGGAGTTGATCACCTCCTCCTTTGCTACACCTCGAGTTCGAGATCCAACACTACTACTGCTACTACTAGATATAGTACGTTCACCGTAACGCTCGTCAGTTATGTAATCCGATTCCTCATGGGTCCAATTTCGAATAATCTAAAACTAAAACTATCTGAACAGAGTTAATTTTGATTTGCACTAATAATTTTTACCCACTTCTAATGGTAAAGTTAAAAATATGCTATGGAGTGCATAGCGCATGAATCATGTTAAGCTTATTAATTTATAAGTGATGGCACTTATATGCAAATAATCAGTAAAGATTCACTGTATTTTGTTCAAGAATTTCTCGAAGAATTGACAAATGCTATTTAATATGAGAGTTAAGATGCAACTTTCTCATGTTTCAATTCTTAAAAAACATTTTCAGATTTCCAGTTAATAAAAAAAATATTCATTAAAAATTTAAATTGAGATGAGAATAAATTCTTTATTCATTGCTGAATTTCTAATTAGTTAATAGCAATAGAGGCGATGGCAAAGATAAAAAAAATACAAACTTTATTTTATCCAAATATAGAAGATAAAATACCTTTGGATTTTCCGGGACCGGGTATCCACTCAAACAACAGGTAATTCGGAATGAGCGCGCTAACCATAAGGAACTGTGACCAGCTTTCGTTGATTTTGTTGTGAAATTGTTTTCTGCAAGATGAGAAGGCTGTATTTGGGGATCAAAGTATAAAGTGGTCCAATAGAAATGTTTTTTCTGCTATTGAAAATTTCATTTTTTATTCCTTTTTCTTTTAAAAAATTATGTTCTCTAAAATTCCAGATAATTTTCTAAACTTCTTCATGTGAAATGATAAATAATCTATCATATCGGTAAATGTCATTCATCCGAAATGTAATTATTACTTCAAAACCGTCGGAATAGGGGGATGAAAAATTCAGCATGGCCATGTCCAAAAATACAAACAAATCAGTAAACAGCAAGGACAATAATGATAAACCATTGAAAAAAAGACAAAATAAACGAATATCTATCTAGTTTTCTATTCTCTTCAAGTTGTAAACATATTTAAATCATAGGTTCTATTGTCAATATTCTTATGGGCAATAAAGTCAAAGGACACCTTTTTTCAAAATCAAAAGTAAAGCACTTGTACTATTAGTAGTTTAATATGAAATATTTAACTAAGATTGTCTGTCAGAAGAACTCTTCAAGAAAACAGCTTTCTTTTTCTCCAAAAGTTAAATGATATATTTTAAAACAAACCGAGACTTTCAGGGCTAGCAATAATGATAAGAGTGGAAAACAAAATAATTTGCAGTATTAGCATTGCTACTATTCAAGCAATCGATAATCAAAGAGTATTTACAGTAAATATTGAATCGCTCGAACCTCATTAGTCCATTTTTAACTGAAATGAGAAAATGATCTAAAAATCTCAAAGAAGTTTTGAATGGTTAGTGTAATAGATATTTATTACATTTATGCACTTAAAATTTTGCAACAAACAAAAAGAGAAAGAAAATTTCCTAAAATAAGTAATTGGAAAAATCCAACCATTGATTTGAACATAAAATAGTGTAACTGAACAATAATTTAAACATAAACCAATGTAATTGAACTAAAAATTTGAAAAAACCAATGATTGATTTGAACATGAACAAAACTAAATTTGCGTTGTCTCTTTTTTTTTTTTTTTTTTTTGATATTAAAACTGTTAACTATACGGCTACCAAGATATATTACTTTTGATTGCTTTATGGCGATTTCATCATTATTCCTCACTACCTCATCTAAAGCCTGAAAGCCAAAAAGCCAATGTTTGATAAATTTGAAAAGCAAATGTGGAATACACGAGAGTGAGTTTTGTTGGAAAAAAAAAAATGCCAATATAATCTTAACAACCGATTGCTCATCACTTCTCATCAAGCCTAGGATTTGGATAGCATATCATTTGGCATGGAAATTGGATAAAAAATGTTGACGATAGCAAACATTTTGGATAAATTATGGATGAAGAAAAGAAATACAGTAGAATGAGGTCTGTCTTCAATCAAATTTCAAATATATAAAATCGAATCCATAAATTAAAATTAAGCGAAAAATGCTTATATCCATAGCAACTATTTCAATATCCAGTACAACCTTTAATGAAATAACAACCAGATGAATACTTTCTCAAGTTCGCATTGTTTAAACAACATTTTTATCATTTCGGACTCCAATAATTGAAAAATATCGCTTTTCAGATGAATACCAAGTTAGTACTGAAACTTTTTGCTATTGGTTGCTGCTAAAAATAAACTCCATTAATCAAAATGAATCAGATAAACGTCTTTTCGAAATTGTCAACAAGAATTTCTTATAAGAACCAGTTTCTTTACTTCCTACCAAGCGATTTGAGCAAAGAAACTATGTTTCTTATTTATCTTCTAACTTTATTACTGGCTAGGAAGCATCGAACAAATTGCCCTGAGTAAGAGCTCAATAGGCTCAAAATATTCTCATAAAGAGTATTAGTAGAAGTCAGATGTCAATATTCATTGCAATAAAGCGACCTGCATGTCTCACCCAGTAATTTTTATTTCAAAGAATTAAGCAATCAACTTTGAACATTCATTTCATGCATAAAATTTCACAAAACAATCAACTAATAAGAAGTCAGTCATTGAAATAACACTTAAGGCTTAGTAATAGGCGACGATTTATGGTTCACCTGCAATGTCGACCATATCAATTCATCAATCGTCAATTATACTGCCAAGAACTTAAAGAAATGCAAACGATTCAAAGTAAATTTAAAAATTGTCAGAAATTAAAAAAAACCTTAGCCTGGTATTGTTATAAAGCCGTAATTATAGTTAAGCATTCCTTAATAAATTACATATAAAGCATTCTTTGATAAAATCTGTAGTCAACAAATAAAACTGTATGCCAATAATTGGAAAAAAAATGTAAAAATTATATCTTAAAAAACAGATATCATTGTTAACAATCGAATGACTATTGATGGGTGGTGGTCTTGGAAGAACATTGCAAGGAAAAATTGGTCTTAGTCTAACCCTTCGGAAAATTAATTTTTTTTTTTCTTTTTTTAAATTAGACACATAGCGAATTCAAAGGGTTTGATTCTATTGCATGTATGTAAAGGCTTTTACTCATCACTATGCAAAATAACTTCATCGATATTCTTTAAACTAGAAAAAGATATCTTGAAAAAATTTTTGAATGATAATCTTCATAAGTTAGGAAAAAGAGTTCTAAAAGCTGTTGGCATTAAATTCGCAAAAATATTTGAAAAAATTCAAATATTGAAAAAGTTTTCAAAAGCAAATTGGAAAGTCAACGAAACTAATTCGCTCATTCAAAAGGTTGTTCGAGCTATCTGATAAAATAAAATGATAATTTGGTTAAGAAATTAATAATTGACAAAGAAAGTAAGAAATAATTGACTGATTAACCGTCATAAGAAAGGTATCTGAACAACAGAAAAAAATAAAACAAGTTAAAAAACTTTATTTCCCCTTGTCACTTTGAAAAAAATTTGACTATTAATTGAAATGAAGAAATATTTGGATAGTTGAAAAAGCAGCAAAATGTGATTGCAGGGTTGATAGCTAGAAATAAGACGAGCTAAAATTATAAGCAACATTTGAGAGAAAAGCACAAAGCACAAGCAGCCTACCTAAACATACCTCCTGCACAAATACATGTAGCTGCTGGGAGAATTTTTCGAAATTGGAGAAAGAAATCAAGTTTTACCTGCGGAATGGGAGCTGGTTGCTTCAACTGATAGAGCTACCTAACTTTAGCAATATTCGTTATATTTTACTATTTCACTTTTAAAATGAACTGCGCTGATGTAACATATGTACCTTGGAAATGTGAATAAATTTTTTTTTTTCACTGACGTTCATTTAAATGTCAATGAAACATATCTGTATCCCAATTAGTTCAAGCCTTAACCGATCACAGTGTGCGTATACATATTTAATGATGATACTTCCTTTTGATTTTTCATAACTTTAAAATTTTAAATTGAAGAAGAAAGATAGGAAACCAGCTATTTTTTTGAACACATCAAAATTAAGTGGTAAATTTTGAAATGAGTATGTTCGGGGAGGAAGTGCAGTATTCAACACGATAACACGATGACAATTTTAGTAAACAAACAAACATTTCCATTTAATTCATTTTCAGTGCACAGTTACTTAATTTAGGTCAATTTATTTTGTACTTAAAAGGAATCATATTAGTTGAAAGTTCACTAATATTCAAAAATTTCGAAATCCTGGAACGAATGATCTTATTGCTAACTTATAGCCTATTTTCATATTATGTTTATGGTGCATTTAAATGATAAAACTGGGAAATTGAGATGTATGAGTTACGACAATTTTAATTTTCATCAAAATCCCCAATGAAGAACAGGACAAAGAATACATGAAATTCTTGCAAAACTTAAAGTAAACTAGCAAATGATATTTTGCAAGTTGACAAATGAAAGTTTTTTGGGGCGAAGACAAAACAAAGGTAGAAAAAGAGTTATAAAAAGTTAAGAAGAATTAAATGTTTGAAATTATCGCGGAAATAAATCCTGAAACTTGCGTATCGATTTATTATTTTTGCTTATGGGCATAAATATAATGCAAAAGGATAGTACAAGCAGTACAGCTTCGTTAAATTTCGTAACTTTTAATACGATTTCCTACGACTAGTTGTAAGGTTGAAATGTTATTTTTTCATGCGTAAAAACCTTTTTGGAAGAGATTAATTTCATATATGAAAAAAAAAAAACACTTTTATTAGGGGAATAGTGACAACAATTGATTCAATACTCTTCGATGTGTAACCATTTGCACACTAAAGATTGGGATTTTAAATTTTCTCAAAGAAGACTCATTTAAATTTTTTTTTTTCGAATCATTCAAACTTAGAGTATTTACACTGACGAGGCATAGTAGAAGAGATTCTCAGTGAAAAATATATAAATGTTTTTATTTTCAAGCCATGTAAAAGACGGGCAATATTAAGTACGAGAATGACTAAAAAGAGCATTGTCACTAAAAAGATTAAAAAGACTAAAAAGAGCATTGGGCTTGCCAATTAATTATAAACATCTCATTACCGCTTATGCTAACAAATGTAAACCATTCATATTTCTGGCCGAAAAGATCGCAATATTTTAATGCTACGAATTATTCTGAATTGAAAAATTTCAAAAAAAAAAAAAAATTGATGCTCCTAAAGAACAAGAAATGCAAATAGTTTTGAGGTGTACATCACAACTATGTGAAGTGAACCAAAAATAATTCGTAAAAACTTCCTGGGAAAGAAATTGAATTTAAGAGATGAAAACTAGCAATATAACTTGGTTTTTCAAATTGTTATTGAAAACAAAATGGAAATCTTCAGTTGTTAATGTCATCTTTTTCACTTCCTCATAATAGCTTCTTTCTCTTGCTTGCTAGACGACTGTTGTCGTGATAAAAGGTGATAATTCCGTTGGAAGGGTGAAATGATTTGAATGATTTGTAACAAAATCTATTCTATCGATTTGAAAATAATATTGATTTTGTTGCGATGATAAGCACAATTGTGAGGAATGACATTAACTCGCAACAATAACTGTCCTTTCCACAATTACTTCAGAGGAAGAATATGAATATTTTTTTGGAGTAAAGTTACTGCTTTTAAAAGCAAATTAAACAAAATGTCACCTATGACTATTAAGAAATGAACCGAATTATAATTATTATAGTTAGCTAAAGAAGAAATGCATATGAGCTAGCTTTTGATAAAATTAAACTCAAAAAAAAAAAATAAGCTTACGGATTAAAGTTCACAAAAATCAGAATGAGTTCCTTTTCCATCTCTAATCCTTGAATGATTTATATATATCGGTAATTTTCAGCTGTTCAACCTGAACGTTAAACATATAAATTAATGCTAGCGCTCACTGAAGAGATTAAAAGCAGTCATTCAATTGCTAGTGTTATGATACTGATGTCTAGTAGGAAATCCATTCTGTATGTATTGGATGTGCAAGGAAATATTTCACGCTTTTAAGATAATTAATAAAGACAATGGCTATAAAGCTCTTAAAACTCATGAAGGGAGTCGAATGACTCAAATAACTCAGGGGAATTTGCAAATCCTAGAATATTTAAGTCAAATAATCACAAAACTCTTTTAAATTAATTTTTGATTTCTAAATCAGATTAAATTTCGACCGCCCCTTTTTTTTGGTCATTTTTTTTTTTTTCAAACATTCAAAATCTATTACAGCAGTTTGATGAATAATTAAAGACATGCCTAGACAACAACAAA